TTAATATTGGCGGCGTCTGCCGGAGGATAGCCATACTGACTTAGTATAGGGTATAACTGTAGAGTTGCGTTGTCCGCAGCAACTCACAACGTTGCCACTCGTTTTATTTGGTATTTTTGATATATTTGGCATTTTTGATCCCACGAGTAGGCGGGAAGGGGTTGGTCACCCGAGGCATAGCCCGCTTGCCCCGGGAAGCCTAATTTAAACTGGAGGTCGGCAGGTATCCAGAGTCCGCATATTAGTGTCCGGGCACCCCCCCGGCATATAACAGTGTCACGTTGGATTGGGGTAATTTCACTGAGAGTTTTCTTCTCTCAGCCCGACTACTATTCGACAGCATCCTGGCAGAGTCATGACCGTGCCAGGACCTGTTTCCAGCCGCCCTCACGGGGAGAGTGTAGTCGCACTTCCACCGGTGTGTATAGTTATGGCGGGTGACGGTTCCCTCTCAACCCTCTGTGTTCTGGGTGGTGTGGGACCCAGGCCTCACCGGCTATTACTAACCGGATCGGCTGCGCCTCAGTTCCGAGTTCACAGTTGTGCGAGCCGACCCGTCATCCGTTTGTCCCCCTGTAGCACCCGATGGCTGACGACCAAAAAAAAATCGAATATAACCCAATGCTCATTTTGAGTATCGGGTATAATGACAACGACAATGTGCAAAACAGCAATGCGTACAATTGAACTGCCATCCATCTTAGCTGAGGTAGCCAGACGAAGAACTCTCTCCAAAAACGACATCAACATAATTGACAATACCTAAATTCCTGACTATTCCCCACTCAAGAGAGGACACATTGAGATAGAGGATGAAGACGAAGAAGTAGAGGAAAATGAGGGTAACAAAAGAAGCCAGCAGCAACAGCAACAACATCAAGAGCACACAAGCCAGACAGACCAACAACAACAACAACAAAAGCTACGACCCCCTCCAGCAGGAGCAACGCCAACACCACTCATGCCCCTCCCCCCATCCGTACCATAGCTACAGCCATTAATAAAAACTTCCTGCCAAAAATCCACATACCGCCAATAATTGTACCAGCGATACCAGCGATCTTGCTGGTCCTGGAAAAGCTGCAAAAGGATCCAAGTAGTAAGCAGGGAAGGCCTGAAAATCCAGGCGCAGGATAGGGCTTCCAGAGATGCCATCATGGATATCCAGGGGGATGCAGACGAGGGCCTGTACACCCACCAAAGCAAAAACGACAGCGTACTCCGCATCGCTATCCGTGGGCTCCAGCACAGCACCCCGCCAAGCTGGATCAGGGGAAAAATGCTGGAGGCAGGGTTCACGGTGACCTTCAGTAGAATCCTCCCGAGCAAATACGATAAAGAACGAGGGGGAACGTTATGAGTTTCTGCGGACACCGCAACTCTACAGTTATACCCGATACTAAGTCAGTATGGCTCTCCTCCGGCAGACGCCGCTAATATTAAACGACACGACAAAGAGTGCGTGCGAGAGAGACAGAAAATCAGTCTGAGCGTGACGTCGGGCACTGCGTAGCCACTGCAAATTGATTTGTTTCTTTTGGCTATAAAAATGATCTGATCCAGATTCAGCAATCTGATAGATGGTGATTATCTATGATTCTGCGTTTTTAGTTTTCTCGAATCTGCAATATTGTGGATGCAACAGTTTTTCGTCCTTTGTGTGGGCGGAAGGGGGTGGGGCGAAATTTTGATATATACGTTTTATAGTGAGATCTAACAGGAGTGAGGATACTAAATTTGGTTACTCTAGCGTTAATAGTCTCTGACAGTCTCTAATAGTTTCGTCCTTTGCGGGGTCGGAAGGGGGTGTGGCGAAATTTGGACACGAAACGGTCAAGGTCCGATATCACAGGAGTGTGGATACCAAAATTTTGTTGCTCTGGCTCTTATAGGTTCTGAGATCCTTGAACTCATATTTTGCATTTGGCAAAACCGACCATGAAACCTGTGTGTTAGAGAGAGACAGAGCGAGAAAGAATGAAATTGTTTTCTTGATTCTGGCTATAATAATTATACGATCTGGTTCAGATTTTACACTCTAGAAGATATAGTCATATTCTACGATTCTGGGTTTTTAGTTTTCTCGTTTCGTCGAAATTGTGGATGCCACAGATTTTCTTTGTGGGGGCGGAAGTGGGCGGGGAAATGTTTTGAAATATTCTTGTAGCAGTGACATATCACAGAAGTTTGGATCCAAAACATCGTTTCTCTAGCTCTTATAGTCTTTGAGAACTAGGCGCTGAAGGGGACGGACAGACGGACGGACGGACAGACGGACAGACAGACATGGCTCAATCGACTCGGCTATTGATGCTGATCAAGAATATATATACTTTATGGGGTCGGAAACGATTCCTTCTGGACGTTACACACATCCACTTTTACCACAAATCTAATATACCCCAATACAGTATCGGGTATAAAAATACGAAATAAGCCAGAACGAGACGAATTCAAGGTGCTGGCCCTAAAACATGTGGGCACGCAGATGGTCTCCATAGAGAGGCTGGCCAAAACACAGGACCCGGTCCAGTGGCATAGATGCCAAGCTTTTGGCCACACACGCGCTTATTGCCGAATTGCTTTGGCGTGTATGAAGTACGCGGGCAATCATCCCTCCAATGCATGCCCAAAACCGACAAGCACACCTGTAAAATGCGCTGACACAGAAACACATAAGCCAATGGAGACAGCCACCAGCAGCGTAACCGACAGCAGCCGTTACACCATCAGCAGCAGCCACAGAGGCAGCATCTCTGGGAGAAGCCCCAACGACAACTCCATCAGCACCAGCAGCAGCGGTAGCGGCAGCAGCAGCAACATCAAAAGTTACAGGAATGGCAGCAGAAACGCCAACAACAACAGCAACAGCGTAGACCCAAACAAAATCGGGAACCTCAGCACCAGGGACTGAAGCAGCGGTCAAGGGTGCAAGGTGAAAAACAGCCAAATTCAGCAGAGGCGCATCTTATCCGTTTCCAGAAAAGGAAGCCAATCCTCGGGCTCAAACAGCACCAGCAGCAGCAGTAGCACCACTACCACAACAACAACAAAGATCAATTCGATTTGCGGGGACCGGCACCAGGGTGCCTCTAGAAGGCATAGAGAGGATAGAAAAATTAGAAAGGAAAATTGAGGAAATTTACTTACTACACTGATCCAAATCCAAGCCAGTAACGATAGAGGGAAAACAATAGCAGACAATAACGATGACACTGAAATAAATCAAATAATTAATCTATCTGCTAATAATGCAAATAAAAATAATAAAAGACAAAACAGCCAACGAAAAGAAAAAATGCCAAGAAGATGAAACTATATGAGAATTCCCTCCAATACAACAAACTCGACCCAATCCCAATCTCAGCCCCTTCCTGTCCCTTTCTGGAACGCCTGTGGTGTAGCCAATAAAAAAGAAGAGCTGGAAATATATATGAAAAGTGAGGACATAACGGTCATGATGGTGGCAGAGACGAAAGGCCATGACCTGCAAGTAGAAGGGTATATCACATACCAAGAAAGAACCCAGTACGCAGGACTCCATCAGCAATAGATTTTGCCATAACAAGCGGCTTACAAAAGGGGGAAGGATTAATTGCAAAAACGACAGATAACGTCTGACCATGTAGTAATTAAAATAGCATTAAACAATAGAGGACACTAACATAAAACAAGCCCACCCATGCCACTAATGACTAAAGGTGCTGATGTCAAAATATTCAAGGATCATCTAAAAAAAAATATTCACCTAAATACGGAAATAAAATCTGGCCTGGACATTGATGACACGGTGGCAATATTCCCCAAGAACATATACGATGCAGCTGCCAAGGTAACTGAAAAAACAACAAAACCAAATGACAAGCGATTCCAAAGTCGGACACTAAAACTTTAAGAAGGGACTATGTAAACGCTGACAAAAAGAAAGGGGCGAGACGAGTATATCTAATATTAAGGAGAAAGCAAAGAAACAAAAAGCAAAGAAACAGTACAATATGCTTACAAACAAGCTGAGAAATGCGGTTAAAAACTGGAGGGAGAACAATTTCAATAGACAGTTAGAGGCAATAAGCGTGGAGGAGGGACGAAGTATGAGAAAACTGTGGAAGATAACAAACAACATTAAAAAGCAGCCGATTCCAAACTGGCCATTGAGAATAGAAGACGAAGAAAGCATGCCCAAGTGGACAAGGACAACAATAGAAAAGGCTGAAGCCTGCAAAAAACACCTAGAGCGCCATAGGACATCACAAACGCATAACGAGGCAGAGAATAATCCAATAATAGACGAACTACAGAAGCAAAAAGAACTACATATATAAACGATGGGGGACGCTGTGAGTTGCTGCGGAGACCGCACCTCTACATTTATACCCGATACGTAGACACTGCAAGTGCGGGGCGAAGTTTCGAAAAATTATTGTAACAGTGACATATCACAGAAGTCCGGATATAAAATATCGTTGTCGTTTTGGCTATATACATGCAAGTTAACGTACCCAATCCTATTGAGCTCTTATACGAGTTGTAAACAATCCTAGACTTTCTAAGACGAAAAGAATTTCAATCTTGGGCTCCCGCCTAATTGGTTTTTTTCAAGATTTCAACAATCAAAATCTTTGGCTCCCACCACAAATCGAATGATGTAAAGCCTATAATCAATGCTGTAAGGACATCAAGAGATAACCATCATGCAAAACGAACGAATCGGATTATTTTGTCAATGCTTTTGCATTCCAATGAAAATGAAACACGATGGGACGACCAAAAATGACCCATCCAGTGGAACATCAACACTATGGTAAATATTACCACTAAATGCTAACCATTTCCGCTTTTGTACGGCTATGAGCCACAAGATTTGAGGATATCTAACAAATTGACGAGCGTGATACAAGGTAAGGATCCGAAAACGATGAGCGCCGTTTTTGAAACGAGAATGAGTTGAGAAAATAAATGAGATGAGTATTATTAAATTTATCACAAGAAACGCTCCTGAATAATGTAAATCTTAATTTTATTAATATAATTTAGCTAAAAACAACATCGGTAGTAACGGAAGACTAAACAGGTTATCTTCACCGGCCGCAATCACTATCGCACTATGGAGGAAGTAGACAACGATTGAGAGAAGCAACCTGGTTTTTTAAATGCTGTATATCTTACATTTTCACTGACGCTCTCCGGATGACGCTGCCTGTGGGTTATGCCCAGAATCTGGTTAACAGTCAGGGTTTCCTGTGAAAGGCTGTCCGTGTCCCAAATGTTCCGGTGATAGGCATTCTGTAGGAGCTTTATGATTGCGCATATGTCCTTGCGCAGCTTTCGGTTTTCGTCCAGCGTCTGCTGTTGCTCCCCACTGACCGACTGAACGCGGTCTATGATCTTGCCGTATGCCTCCCCTTTAATTGCCGACAAGTTGGTGAACATGACGTTGTTGACATTTAGTAGGACGTCCACCCACTCTTGAAAAGTGATCAGGCGCAGCTGGAGTGGGAGGCAATCCAACAAAGATTGGGTTAGGCATTGAGTGGTAGCCACTGGGATGGATTGTGTAGGCACTCACCTTTGAATCTCCGCTCGGAAAATTGAGGCCGTCGATCTCGTCCAGCCGTTTTAGGAATGTCTTGTTCAGCTGCAGATTCATCTGAGCGCTCATGTCGTGTGCCTCAGGCAGTTGGTCCACCAGACGGTGAAAGTACTCCGTGGCTATGGACTCAGTGCGAGCAGTGCACCTGGAGTGGTCTTGGTTGCTGTAGTCCGTGAAGACACCGGATTGATTTTCGACATTCCCTGTGTCCTGCTGCAGAGCCTTTTGGCTTTGCTGATCCTTCAGCGCCAGCTGCACCAGAGTTTGAGTCCAAGACGAGTCCTCGTCTGTCGCTCATGTTTTGACGATTATTGCTCCGATTTCCTCGTCCGCATCGACTATTATTCAAAGTTTTATGTTCAAGTCAAGTTTTACAGTTTTACAGGTTTTACAGTTTTAAGATCAGACGTTCACTTCCTAATGGGAATTTCAAGGCACTGGTGATGGGCGTAGCAGTAGCAGTTTTCCGGTCTACGAGCACTCGACTCGACGCGAAACCAAACGAAAACCTCTGCTCTGAAAGAACTCACATGTTTTTAGTGCTTTTGTGTGCTTAGACATAATATAAAAGCTTCGCTCATACCGTATTTGAATCCCGTGGTGACCCTCACAGGCTCACAGGAAGAAACACATACTGCTAATCTCCCTACACCCCTGACTTGGCACTTGCCATTGTCCCACTTGTTCTTGACCTGAGTTTCTTTGCATGCTCAGTGGCATGCTCAATAACTATTGAAAAATATACAAACACAAGGCACGCAGCCTCTTGTACAATACATCGCGCACCAACACACACAATGTTTGAGGCTTCTCTTTGGTAAACTGAGACTCCTCTGAGACGTTTTAGTAAATGCACTTAATTTGTTTATTTAAATTCAATTTATCTTTTTTAATTATTCGTTTCGTCACAGCAATACAAAATCAAGAAGTTAAACGACGCACAATGGCGAATTAGACGAAAAGAGTGGTGTTCAGACAAACTCCTTTAAGGAACAAAGTACTCAAGTGACCCTCGTAAAATAGAGAGCCTACGCTCACTTTTCGTATTTACTCTCACCATTATTGTACTAAATTCACCACTGTATTCTCTTTCTTATGCCCAGTGCTCAAGCACTAAGATTTGTAATAAACAGTTATTGCCTAATACTCAACTGGATCGATCTATATATAGACTATATAGACTATAATTCGTTTGCAGAAAAAACTAACACACCTCCATCCGTGAATTAACATTAATGCGGAAAACGCTCCGTGTATAAACATTTTGGCGCCCAACGTGGTGCATGTGTGTAAATTCTTCTGTGAACAATTAAACTAATCGCAATCTACAAGGGCAGCATTCGCTCGTCTCGCAGCTGCAATCGAAAGTTCCGAAAACCGTATCAGAATTGTTCGTCTCGATCGCGTGGTCATTGTCCTCGCCTTGTTCTCGCCGTTCTCGCTTAATTTTATCATTCGCTTATCACTCAGAACACATTCAACGGCGCTTGCATTCTCGGTTCGTTCACGTTGCAGCTACCTGCTTTGGTCCATCGATCAACGCATTCTTTCTATTGGAATTCCACCGCTTCACTTTCGTTTTGCTTTCGTTGCCGCTGCTGGAACGTTCGCTGACTCTCCGCTTTGTTGCTGCGTTTTTTGTTGTTGTTATTTTTGGAAGCTCTAGTTTGTGTCAGCGTAATTACACTACACAACACTACACAGCAATATAAAACGAAATATAAATCGGATCAAATCTGTGGTAGATGCTAAATCGGAAACCCCGATAAGCAATGATGAGCTTCGCTTTCGCTTAGAAACGTATTTCAAGAATGTTTTAAATTTCCAAGCTAATATTGAAGGATACATACATAGTAATCAAGCTATCCATAAAGGAAAAAATGGGAGGAGATCTGAACGCCAGCATTGTTGCGCCGGACTACCACCCACCGCCAGTAAAGTCATCGTTACCAATGTTGTCGCTGCACACTTTCGACGGAACATATGCAAACTATAAGAATTTCACTCACTCGTTCGAGCAAATTGTTGTGCGTGAGTCTGGATTGTCTAATATAGAAAAGTTTAATTATTTGCTGACCGGCCTCACGGGGCCGGCATTAGATACAATTCAGGCACTCCAGGTTACAAGCGAAAACTATCCGAAAGCCATTTTGATAATCCTACTCTTATATTTTTAGAAGCTATTGAGGCATTGTTTGCACTACAACCTGTGGAAAGGTCAAACAGTCAGCAGCTTCACAGCCTAGTGGATAAGGCATCCGCTATATTAAGCTCGCTGGAGTCCATCGGCAAACCTGAGAACATTGTTCACGCTATGGTTATATATATTATAATGGAAAAGTGTGATCATCAAACTCGGAACAAGTGGAAGGAATCGCAGGACTACAAAACTCTGCCAACCTGGCTAGCATGCACACAGCTTGTCAGTTTCTCCATTCGTCTGGAAACTCGGCTGCTACTTCGTCACAACGAAAGGCTGAATCCAATAAGTCAAATCGTCATTCTAATCACCAAATAAACTCGTCGTTTGCTATCACTAATCCGTCTTGTAGTTCTGGCCATAAGATCTCTAATTGCGATCAGTTCAAGGCTATGAACAGCAACCAACGGTAGGACAATGCAAAACGCCTCGGTCTCTGCATCAATTGTCTTGGAAATGGTCATAGAGTGGCGCAATGTTCATCGACTCATCGTTGCCGATCCTGTAATCGGAATCATCATTCATCTTCACAGCCGACGTCACAAAAATGTACAGGCAGGTACTTGTGAGTGAGAAGGATAGAAAATTCCAGTACATTTTGTTGCGAGCATCTCCAAATACGGATCTTCAAACCTACCATATGGGACTGACATATGGGACTGCGTCTGCCCCATTTCTCGCAACTCGTAGTTTGCATTAAAACTGCTGCTGTTAAAACTGCATTTTATGTTGATGACCTTTTGTGTGGGGCTGATGATATAGATACACTCTTCAAACTAAAAACTGAAATCACATCAACTCTCGCTCGTGGTCAGTTTCCATTATGCAAGTGGCATTCAAATCATCCAGGCGTGATGGAAGACGAATCTACCAAGGAATTAAACATTTCAAAAAACTCAGTCAGCAGCACACTCGGCGTAACTTGGCATCAACGAAGTGATGCATTTAGTTTCACATTTAATCCAAAGGAAGTCTATCCCACTACCACAAAACGAACAATTTTGTCTACTGCGTCGTCGCTATTCGATCCAATCGGTCTGCTATCACCGTTAGTCATGTCTCTAAGAAATTGTTGGAAATCGAGTGTCCGATATTCAGGATTTAACGTCTGATGGAAAATGGCGCTATGTGCCAACCCTGCTGATATTCTGTCGCGAGGCTGTAACGTGAGCGAGTTGATTAAGTCTCCATGGTTTTCGGGTCCTACGTTTCTAGTCGAAGATTCACTAAACTGTCCCGCCACTGGTGGAAAACTTGATATTGACATGGACGTGGTTAACTCGGAGAATCGGAAAAGTTTGTTTGCTGCCGTACACGAGATAAATAATATCCTCAACATCGTCGATAATATCAGCTCGTACACTCACAGTCTGCGTCTCATTGCTTGGATGATTAGGTTCATAAGGAGATGTCGGAAGCAATCGACGTTTACCACAACCTCACCGACGCATAACGAGGCAGAGAATAATCCAATAATAGACGAACTACAGAAGCAAAAAGAACTACATATATAAACGATGGAAGACGCTGTGAGTTGCTGCGGAGACCGCACCTCTACATTTATACCCGATACGTAGACACTGCAAGTGCGGGGCGAAGTTTCGAAAAATTATTGTAACAGTGACATATCACAGAAGTCCGGATATAAAATATCGTTGTCGTTTTGGCTATATACATGCAAGTTAACGTACCCAATCCTATTGAGCTCTTATACGAGTTGTAAACAATCCTAGACTTTCTAAGACGAAAAGAATTTCAATCTTGGGCTCCCGCCTAATTGGTTTTTTTCAAGATTTCAACAATCAAAATCTTTGGCTCCCACCACAAATCGAATGATGTAAAGCCTATAATCAATGCTGTAAGGACATCAAGAGATAACCATCATGCAAAACGAACGAATCGGATTATTTTGTCAATGCTTTTGCATTCCAATGAAAATGAAACACGATGGGACGACCAAAAATGACCCATCCAGTGGAACATCAACACTATGGTAAATATTACCACTAAATGCTAACCATTTCCGCTTTTGTACGGCTATGAGCCACAAGATTTGAGGATATCTAACAAATTGACGAGCGTGATACAAGGTAAGGATCCGAAAACGATGAGCGCCGTTTTTGAAACGAGAATGAGTTGAGAAAATAAATGAGATGAGTATTATTAAATTTATCACAAGAAACGCTCCTGAATAATGTAAATCTTAATTTTATTAATATAATTTAGCTAAAAACAACATCGGTAGTAACGGAAGACTAAACAGGTTATCTTCACCGGCCGCAATCACTATCGCACTATGGAGGAAGTAGACAACGATTGAGAGAAGCAACCTGGTTTTTTAAATGCTGTATATCTTACATTTTCACTGACGCTCTCCGGATGACGCTGCCTGTGGGTTATGCCCAGAATCTGGTTAACAGTCAGGGTTTCCTGTGAAAGGCTGTCCGTGTCCCAAATGTTCCGGTGATAGGCATTCTGTAGGAGCTTTATGATTGCGCATATGTCCTTGCGCAGCTTTCGGTTTTCGTCCAGCGTCTGCTGTTGCTCCCCACTGACCGACTGAACGCGGTCTATGATCTTGCCGTATGCCTCCCCTTTAATTGCCGACAAGTTGGTGAACATGACGTTGTTGACATTTAGTAGGACGTCCACCCACTCTTGAAAAGTGATCAGGCGCAGCTGGAGTGGGAGGCAATCCAACAAAGATTGGGTTAGGCATTGAGTGGTAGCCACTGGGATGGATTGTGTAGGCACTCACCTTTGAATCTCCGCTCGGAAAATTGAGGCCGTCGATCTCGTCCAGCCGTTTTAGGAATGTCTTGTTCAGCTGCAGATTCATCTGAGCGCTCATGTCGTGTGCCTCAGGCAGTTGGTCCACCAGACGGTGAAAGTACTCCGTGGCTATGGACTCAGTGCGAGCAGTGCACCTGGAGTGGTCTTGGTTGCTGTAGTCCGTGAAGACACCGGATTGATTTTCGACATTCCCTGTGTCCTGCTGCAGAGCCTTTTGGCTTTGCTGATCCTTCAGCGCCAGCTGCACCAGTACCGACTGCTGAGACGTCTGCTGTCCCGAGTTCGTGGGAGTATCCGGATTGGACAGCCCCATAGAGTTTGAGTCCAAGACGAGTCCTCGTCTGTCGCTCATGTTTTGACGATTATTGCTCCGATTTCCTCGTCCGCATCGACTATTATTCAAAGTTTTATGTTCAAGTTAAGTTTTACTCTCCGGAAAAGTGTACGTGTACCAGGTTTTACAGTTTTAAGATCAGACGTTCACTTCCTAATGGGAATTTCAAGGCACTGGTGATGGGCGTAGCAGTAGCAGTTTTCCGGTCTACGAGCACTCGACTCGACGCGAAACCAAACGAAAACCTCTGCTCTGAAAGAACTCACATGTTTTTAGTGCTTTTGTGTGCTTAGACATAATATAAAAGCTTCGCTCATACCGTATTTGAATCCCGTGGTGACCCTCACAGGCTCACAGGAAGAAACACATACTGCTAATCTCCCTACACCCCTGACTTGGCACTTGCCATTGTCCCACTTGTTCTTGACCTGAGTTTCTTTGCATGCTCAGTGGCATGCTCAATAACTATTGAAAAATATACAAACACAAGGCACGCAGCCTCTTGTACAATACATCGCGCACCAACACACACAATGTTTGAGGCTTCTCTTTGGTAAACTGAGACTCCTCTGAGACGTTTTAGTAAATGCACTTAATTTGTTTATTTAAATTCAATTTATCTTTTTTAATTATTCGTTTCGTCACAGCAATACAAAATCAAGAAGTTAAACGACGCACAATGGCGAATTAGACGAAAAGAGTGGTGTTCAGACAAACTCCTTTAAGGAACAAAGTACTCAAGTGACCCTCGTAAAATAGAGAGCCTACGCTCACTTTTCGTATTTACTCTCACCATTATTGTACTAAATTCACCACTGTATTCTCTTTCTTATGCCCAGTGCTCAAGCACTAAGATTTGTAATAAACAGTTATTGCCTAATACTCAACTGGATCGATCTATATATAGACTATATAGACTATAATTCGTTTGCAGAAAAAACTAACACACCTCCATCCGTGAATTAACATTAATGCGGAAAACGCTCCGTGTATAAACATTTTGGCGCCCAACGTGGTGCATGTGTGTAAATTCTTCTGTGAACAATTAAACTAATCGCAATCTACAAGGGCAGCATTCGCTCGTCTCGCAGCTGCAATCGAAAGTTCCGAAAACCGTATCAGAATTGTTCGTCTCGATCGCGTGGTCATTGTCCTCGCCTTGTTCTCGCCGTTCTCGCTTAATTTTATCATTCGCTTATCACTCAGAACACATTCAACGGCGCTTGCATTCTCGGTTCGTTCACGTTGCAGCTACCTGCTTTGGTCCATCGATCAACGCATTCTTTCTATTGGAATTCCACCGCTTCACTTTCGTTTTGCTTTCGTTGCCGCTGCTGGAACGTTCGCTGACTCTCCGCTTTGTTGCTGCGTTTTTTGTTGTTGTTATTTTTGGAAGCTCTAGTTTGTGTCAGCGTAATTACACTACACAACACTACACAGCAATATAAAACGAAATATAAATCGGATCAAATCTGTGGTAGATGCTAAATCGGAAACCCCGATAAGCAATGATGAGCTTCGCTTTCGCTTAGAAACGTATTTCAAGAATGTTTTAAATTTCCAAGCTAATATTGAAGGATACATACATAGTAATCAAGCTATCCATAAAGGAAAAAATGGGAGGAGATCTGAACGCCAGCATTGTTGCGCCGGACTACCACCCACCGCCAGTAAAGTCATCGTTACCAATGTTGTCGCTGCACACTTTCGACGGAACATATGCAAACTATAAGAATTTCACTCACTCGTTCGAGCAAATTGTTGTGCGTGAGTCTGGATTGTCTAATGTTAAAGTTATTTTATTTGTAAGACAGCAGAATATCAGTATACAGAATTATATGTGCTTCCGAGTAACATACGCAAGAGAGAGACACCGAAAAGGGAACATCGATATACAGAACATCGATATGAGAACATCGATATGCAGCAGGGCACATGCGCAGTGTTGTTACAGATCAATATTTAATTATCGTGGCGGTCACTTTGAACACTCCTCCTCAACACAACGCATGTTTACAAACTTTAAATATACTTAACTAATATTCAATAACATGTCAAGCACTTATAAACGATCTTTTAAACCAAATGCGAATACAAATTTATGGTGCTTAACCTTGGCTAAGTTCTTTGTGAGGACATCTGCTATCATCTCATCGGTTGGCAGATATGCAATGTTGACTTCACCTCTCTTGAGAACCTCTCGAATATGATGTATCTTGACGTCGATGTGCTTTGTACGTGCATGAAACATGGGGTTTCTAGCAAGCTGCTGTGCTCCAATGTTGTCGCCGTACATCTGAATAGCTGACTCCTTGGATATCAGCTTTAAGTCAATCAGTAGGCTGCGAAAGTATATCGCCTCTTTTGCTGCAGATGATAAGGCTATGTACTCTGCCTCCGTGGAACTGAGGGCAACCGTCGATTGCTTTCTTGACTCCCAAGAAACCGCTCCTCCTGCCAACATGCATACATAGCCAGTGAATGACTTTCGGTTCGTCATATCACTTGCCCAATCTGCATCAACAAAACACTCAATTGCCTTTCCTTGCTTTGTGTAGCATATCTCCCAGTCGATAGTTTTTGCCAAATATCGAAGGATGTGCTTGGCTGCCGCTTCATGCTCGGAATGAGGATCCTTGTTACGTTGTGCTAATTTGTTCACCGAATGCGCAATGTCTGGACGAGTCATAACAGCAAGATAAGATAACTCTCCAATTAGCTTTTGGAACGATGTGATGTCGACCCTGCGGCAATCCTCTTTGTTGCATGCCACCTGGTAACCAGCTTCAAGAGGCGTGGACGTCTGTCGACAATCTTTCAAATTGTACTGTTCGAGCAACTCTCTAATATATTTCCGTTGGCTGATTGAAATCGCACCCGTACTGCCTTCACGTTTCACCTCAATACCTAAAAAGTATTGCATAGGCCCGATGTCAACCACATCAAATTCTGCTGCGATCTTTATCTTGATATCAGATATATCATCTAGGTCCTTACACGCCAAAATAATGTCATCTACGTAGACAGCTATTAGACACATATTTTTACCTGGCTTACGATACAGACAGGGTTCGTTGACAGTCGGTATAAAACCAATGCGTCTCAGCGTTGCATCCAACGTAGAGTTCCACACTCTTCCTGATTGTTTTAGGCCATATATACTTTTGTGAAGCCTCAAAACGTGATTTGGGTGAACTTCGCTGATGAAGCCCTCAGGTTGTCTCATAAAAACCTCATCTTCCAATTCGCCGTTGAGATACGCCGTGACAACATCCATTTGATGTAGGTGGAGACCATGTTCGACTGCAAGTGCAATTATCAACCTGATAGTTGCGTGGCGTACAACTGGTGCAAATGTTTCCTTGTAGTCGATCCCGTAGCGTTGGCTACAACCTTTCGCCACCAGACGTGATTTGAGCCTGTTCACGCTTCCATCCGGATTGGACTTAACTGCGTAAACCCATCTGCATCCAATGGACTTTTTCCCGCTAGGCAATTTAGTAAGCGACCACGTGCCGTTCTTCACGAGAGATTCGTACTCGTCCTTCATTGATGCTTTCCATATCTCGCCTTCAGTAGACCGTTCAGCTTGTGCGTAGTTTTGTGGAACTTGTACGTCTGCTGCCAGTATCGCATTGAGCATATGATACTGCTTCCTTGGTCGTCCTGGTTTGCCCGTCCGTACTATGGTTGGGCGTCCTGGTCCTCTTATTGGTTCTGGAATTACAAGAATGTCATTACTAGACCTAATCTCCTCCTGATTTTCTGGCTCATTTTCTGGATCTTTAAATTGCTCGCTATCCATTTCGTGTTCAGCGTTCTGGTTTTGTTGAACCTCAATTGATGATATGTCATTGGAACATGATGCATCTAGTTTGCCCCCTTCAGGTTCTACAAAAATGACATCCCTACTCTCTACGAGTTTCCTGGTTTCTTTACTGACCAAACGGTATGCTTTGGCCGTATCCGAGTAGCCCACCATTATATACTCTAAGCCTTTCTGTGCGAACTTTGATTTCTTTGTTTTATCTAGAGCTATCGCTACTGAGCCAAAAACTCTTAAATGCGATACCACTGGCTTTCGACCTGTCCATATTTCAAAAGGTGTCACCCCGCTCAAGCAGCTGCTTGCCACTCTATTTCGCAAATACGTGGCAGTTCGAATCGCTTCTGCCCAATAGCATTCACTCAACCCAGCATGCAGCAGCATACTTCTTGCCATTTCTACCAATGTTCTGTTGGCCCTTTCTGCAACTCCGTTTTGTTGAGGTGTATATGGCACTGTTAAGTTTCGCTTTATTCCATTTTGGTTTAGGTAATTGTCAAAAACGCTTGATATGTATTCTCGGCCATTGTCGCTTTGTAAAACCTTGACTTTTCTCCCAGTTTGGCACTCAACTTGACTTTTAAATTCTTTAAAAGCCTCGAAAACCTGATCTTTGGTTTTTAGGAAACTTACTGATACATATCTTGAACAATCATCAATAAATGTGGCGAAATATCGATTGCCTCCCATTGACTGCTTTTGCATTGGACCGCATACATCAGTATGTATTAAGTCTAGAACGCCCTTTGACCTGTTTGTGCTCGATTGAAATGGTTGCACGCAAATTTTACTTTTTGCGCATGTTGCACACACTTGTTTTGGCTTGTATATGCCCTTGAGACCTATTACCATCTCCTTGTTAACCATTTCCTTTAATGCGTCAAAATGTACATGTCCGAACCTATTGTGCCATTTGAATGCATCTGCCTCAACATTTACAATGTTCATACACTTCTCCTGATTGTCCTGAACCATAAACAATCCATTTTCCAGATGTGCCTTTATAACTATTTTTCCGTTTTCAAAAATCATCGCTTGATTTTTCTCAAACACAACTTTTTTTCCATGTTTTAATAGTTTTGTGACCGATATAAAATTGTACTGCAAATCTGGTACCAAGATAACATTTTCCATCGTAACGGATCTATCACCGAACTTTACTTGAACAGTTCCATGCCCTTCAGCAATAAGTGATTTACCGCCGGCTAAAAATACTTTTTGATTATCTTCCGTGAACGACACAAAGCGTTCCTTGTCACAACATAGATGCGCCGTT